CAAAACACACTGAACAGTGCATCAATTACGCATTTTAGGAAGAAGGGAACAGAATACTCTCCTACATGACAGTGCAGTATATAAAGAATTCAGAATTGAAGTTGCAGTGCACATATCCATGAGAGGAGTCATATGGGCATTTTATGACAGGAGGACTTAAAATTCTAATAATCGTCAAACATCGCCTCAATTTTAGGTGATTGGCGGAAGCAAAAGTAAGTCAGCGACCAAAAATTATGATCACTGTTGAGTGATCAAAGGAGCATTGTGGTTTCATTGCTTGTCTCAAAGTTAAGATACAACCGAACCAATCGGGGCTAGGACGAAGCCTAGCTTGGTTCCAATTAGACGCCCACAAAAATCGATCAACTTGCGCGGGATAAAACAATACAGCGCTCTGAAACCAGCAGCTAAAAGGCTCATGCCCCCGAAAGTTTTTGACCGATGCACTTGTCCACTTAAAGTATAAGCCGCCTTCCCACCTTCCCTGCCCCTGTTGTCTCCATTCTTTTATCAAGCGAGCTTGTGAAAAATACCCATGGCTATCCAACCGCTTTGAAGGATACAGGATATAAAACATGCAGATCAGTTGGTCGGATGCTCTAGAGCGGCGAGTTTGACCACCTGACCTCCAAAGGATGGATACTGTTTCTCCGATTTTACTCATTTTGAATACATAAAGGCCGTCTTAAGAGGGCCGTCTTAACCGTTTTTCAACGTGCTAAACATCCACTGAACGTATTGTTTTCCCAATGGATTAACGTTTCACCTTTTCGGAGATTTTGTTGCAAACACACCATCCCCGAATCAACCGATTGGATGTAGCGGGACACAAGCTTCAAGTCTTTTCAATCCATCAGTTCTGTAATTCCCCCTACTCTCTTCTTTATCCGGCATTTTAGAAATCCGCGTGTGTTACATATTTGTTTGCTGCTGGTATAATTTTCCTAGCTTCCTCCGGAGCTGCTGTTGGGGAGATTCTATGTTCATCGGGAGGGGGAGGAAGCGTGACCTCGGAAAAACAGCACTTGATCACGTGGGCACGGTTTCTTCACTTTTCTCTAATCGTCATTCGATTCAACATTGTGTCCCTCGGGTTTGTGGGGCATTTAATGCACCTCGGTGAGACACTTTTGTGCCACAGTGACACATTTTGGGACAGCCTCAACTGCAGTTTTCCGAAAAGGGGAGCGATTGGGCATGCGTGCTCGTCCTCAAAGTACCTATCAGAGCTCACGATGCAAGTGAGATGGAGCGAGAATCCTAAAGCGGTGCTCTCTCGGTAGCCAATGGTGGGCTGAAGTCACAATTGGTCTACAGCCGAAGGCTGAGAGATTGTGATAGCCATTAGTTACGCGTATACCTCAATTTGGATGCCAATATTATATTTTTCAGGTCTCAAACGGTTGACCTGAGCTTTCATATCAATCGCCAGAATCACGACAAATGAAGTATCTTCGGACCGCGGCATGCGTGAAAAATCAAAATGGAGGCTGTTTTTACAGCCTTGGGGCCGCCATTCTCGGAGGAGTATGTTTAAACTACCAAAAAAAGTGTGCACACCTCGGTCAACCCGGGGTCGTAAAGGGAAACGTTGACTGGAAACCGATCAGTTAAACAAATTCCACCCCGGGGCTAAGAAGAACTCCCACGACACGGACGCCTGGAGGCATTGCATCAGCGCTACCAGGTAGCGTGGCCCATTGGCGGCACAATGCTCTTAACTTCAAAATGTTTGCGATTGAAATAAAACTTTCTACGCCAAAATGTTGCGTTTTGTTGCTCATATGCTCCAACCGAAAACCATGTTATTCTACTTTCATATTTTTGTGGCTCAACAAATTTCACTGTTCGCTGAAGTAATCATACCCCTGGCGGAAAGTTTGGCGGAATACTTTCTTAGTATCGCTCCAGGGTGCCTAGATAGGGCTCAGAAGTTTGTACTCTGAACTCAATTTTCTATCCGTTTAAGTCCATTAGGGACCCGTCATAGCCTTCAAAATTCAATTGTATTGTGCGAATGCTGAGAGCCGTATGACTGCTTCGGTGGACAATGAAATTCTGTGAGCTGCGAAAATATGAATGTAGATCAGGATGGATTTTATTCCAAGCGCATAATCAACAAAATGAAATATTTTGGCGAAAATGCTTTGTTCCACTCGCAGATGTTCGGCAGCAAAGGTCATTGTGCGGCTAACGGCTCCCTCGAAAATCGATAAAAAATGCGAATTATTGGTGGTCCTTTACCTAAAAATTTCGCTCACTGAAACAAAATGCTATAAGCAACATATCACCAAAAGGAGCAAAGGGATTAGACTAACTTCCCGTAAAAGTCACAACATCGAACATCCTATGGTTTCGTCAAAAATGTTTTGGGTGTTTCAAGTGAGGGACCGATCATACCACCGGCGGGAAAAGTCTGGTGGATTACTTTCCTAGCTTCGTTGATAACCTGAAATGACTAAATGGAGCTCAAAAGACTGAACTTGTACTCTTGACTCAATTCCCTGACTGTTTTAGTCCGAGAGGGACATGTCGTAGTTTTCAAAAATTCAATTCTATCGTTCCAGTATAGTGATGAAAGAGAATATGATGCATTGTGTAATACTGATGATAGTATACACCCCGCTGACGGTCTCCGTCCTCTGATATGCACAGCTAGGCAGCAGATAGTGCACCGTTGGTGTAACTGCGTGATAAATAACTATACAAAGATATCTTTCTATCGGAAATGATCGCTCTCCTCTGTTAGAATATGTCATCAAGACCAAATGCGCTTGCGGAGATTAAAGCCAACCATTTCTGGTCATCGTGATAACAGAACGCATTATCACCTAACTTGGTTACTTATCGTTAATGTTGTGGAGCCTCCGCTATGCGCGATAACCTGATAGATTGGCCAACGGCGGCCCGTTATACACATAGCTCATAACTGCACTCGATATCGCCCACCATAATTACTCGCGGTAACCGCTGGGTCCGCACCCATACTCGCAGAAAACTATAAGGCCCCAGCTGCATATAATAGGCTAATCCAACAGCTAACACCGGTCCTCGATATTCATGCATGTTTACCTGCCAAGCCCTTGCATGAAAAACACATCTTTGGTTAACCATCTTTCTATGTATTAATCGCATCGATGCGTAATATGCAGTCAGTCCAGTTCTTAGTTACAGGATACCGCTTTCACTCTGCAAGATTTCAAGGAAGAGAAACGTATGACCAATCACGACTCGTATACACCTGTACATACATAATTAAACAAAGCACTAACGGCTTCCTCACCAGGTGCTCCATAAATACCGTTGTCCACAATTCCCGATCGGTATCTACGCTGAACCTTGAGTCTTATTATTATAAGGGTAAACTCACAAATGGTTCCAATGCCGATAATGAGGAGGTCATCTATGCGTTGACAATTTGATGGTAGGATTCGTCAAACATATGCATCACTGGACGCACAGAAGTCAAAACAAGAGGAGGTTTTATAAGATCATTCGTAAAACCAGGTGATGTAGAATTGATCCCTATGAAAAAAGGACTGCATGCGCCCGCAAAAGTTCACCAATGGATGCGGCCGTAGCAATGACCTGGTGAGTAGGCGGGTAACTGGAGTCAAATCTGGTCATTTATAGCATTAAACCCCAACTTCACCATACTTCGGCTTCCCGATACCAATACCACGTGTCTTAATAAAACCGACTTGTAGTCATCCCGTACGCAATCGCTCTAGCAGTCCCGTCAGCTAGGGGCAAATTTCCGGGAAACCTACCAGCTGACGTGCTTGCGTTTGCAGCTTCCAGCATCCGATTATATATAAATAAGCTTGTACATCTCAAACATATGGTGGAGGCCGCTCACTATATCGATGGTTTGACATAGCCTTGGGCCAGATACGACGTGTACCGACAATCTTAAAAAAGATTACCAGCTGCGACGAATTTCTTGGCTCTCCTTGGTGGGACGTCTGTCACAACAGCAGAAAACTTTTTCACACACAGGTCTGAAAGGCTACTCAATTTTTGATTTTCAGGGACATGCAGGGCATAATTATTGCTCATGTCATTTCGAGATTATTCCAAAATCAAATTCAGAAGAAGACACGCGAAGAAATCAGCTTTTCCACAAAATTTCCCACTGTCCTAACGGAGGCCACACGCGAAGCCACTGCGGCCGTCAAAATACGTATTCCGCGAACTTAGTAAAACTCGACTTCGTCCAAACAACTTTTAGGACAAAACTGCAGTCGCACGTGGAGATTTTAAGGATTCCAATATATACCGTCAAATACTGAAACTTTACTTTAAGTATTTGTTCTTTTAAACTACGGCTTCGGAGAAATTCTGCATGTGTGTTTACAGCACGGCATGTTCCCCAGGGCCATACTGGAATTTCTTGATGGTTGGGAGCCCCGAGCCACTATTTCTTTATACTGGTGGGGTTGCTTTGTACTTACGTGTGGCCCTGCCAATCCCGATTGTCCCGTCTGACACCACCCCCGCATCCTTTTGCGATGCATTGTGGGTCCAAATCCCGCTGCGCGGGTCCGATTCTCTACTTCTCGGTGTGGTCCACCGTAGCCCTTTGAGTCCCTCTGAAGATGACCAGTTCCTCGTACAAGCCCTTGAGCAAATCTCCTCCAACTGCCACTTCACTCATATCCTGCCGGTAGGTGACTTCAACGCACCAAAAGCCCCATGGATGGAGCTCCGGCGCGTCGAAACAGGCGGACCTTTTGCAGCGGTGCTGACTGAAGTCGTCCAACAAAGCGCTTGGACTCAACGTGTCGTTGCACCCACCAGATACCGCGCAGGCCAACTATCATCCCTCCTGGATTTGGTCATCACCAACGAAAGACACTTCGTCAATCAGGTAACATTTGACACTCCCCTGGGACATAGCGGCCACTGTGTGCTGACCTTTGATTTCATCTCCAATGGTGCCAGAAGCCCCGAACCCCAGACGTGATTTCGAGACTTTTGCCGTGCAGACTTCTCAGGAATGCGCATCTTCCTTGAACAAGTCACACTGAGACCAGCTCCGGTGGAAGAACTATATAGGACCATTGTCCAGAAAGTCCACGAGGCTGACGCGACATTCGTCCCAAGAAGACCGGCACGCAGTCGGATGAACCGCAAGCTGCCAAAAAGGATTCGGCGACTTCTGGAAAAAAGATCCCAACTCTTTTTCAAAAAGTTGACCACAGGGGACACAGAAGATGAGCTGGCATTTCGTAAAATGCGGAATCGCTGTAAGTCGGAAATCCGCCAATGGAACATACGAAAACAAGCCACCATTCTGGACCTCGCTCGAAAAAACAAAAACGTACTGTTCAAGTACATGAGACATCGCCGCAGAAACAAGCCATCTGCGTTCTCCTTGAGGGACAGAAACGGAGAACCGACGAATGACCCAACAGTGGTATCTGAGGCTTACAGAGAACACTATGCGTGTCTATACTCAGCCCCAGCGTCCTCGTCACATCCACTCTTGTCAAGGAGAAACTACGAACAGCCTCTAACCGACTTGGTCTTCACGGTGGAGGACATTCGTCAACTCTTGCACAAGATCAACCCATTCTGCGCGTTGTGGCCCGACGAGGTCCATCCAAGGATCCTGAAGGAAACGTCCTTCACACTGGCAAATCATTTACACACGGTGTTTCGTCAGTCGCTTGACGAAGGCCGCCTTACCTCTACTTGGAATGGAGCTATTGTCACGCCAATCTACAAAATTGATGACCGCTATCGTCTGGGAGCTATAGGCCCATTAGCCTCACTAGCGTTCCGTGCGAGGCGATGGAACGCATTCTGAAGCGAGCCATCCTAGACCACCTTACTTCCAGCAACCTGATATCTCCAGCTCAACACGGATTTCTCCCAAACCGTTCTTGCGTGACAAACATGGTCGTGTTTATGAACAGCTTAACCCAAGCCAAGGACGAAGGACTCATATTGGATGCCATATTTTTCGACTCCTCAAAAGCATTCGATAGGGTCCCACACGTCTCGCTGCTCCACAAACTCGAGTCTTACAGGATTCAAGGGAAAATCCTTCGCTGGATCAAGGCGTTCCTATCAGCCAGATCATTCAGAGTGAAAGTAGACTCGACCTACTGTTCTCCATCTCTGGTCTCCATTGGAGTTCCTCAAGGCTCCTTCATGGGACCAGTGCCGTTTCCGATCTACGTCAACGGCCTCCCAGATGTTCCTGCAAGTCCACGTCTACTTTTTGCGGACGAATTGAAATCCTGGAGTTCCAACTTCAGTGCCCTCCAAATGGATGTAGGCGCTGCCAATGACGAAAAGTGCGCCCATATGTCATTTGTAGGAGACTCAGCGAATGCCTTTATTATGCATGAGGATAGGTGCAAAAAGGATTTGGCATCTGGGTCTCCTCAAACTTGTCCGTCTCACTGCACCATGAGAAATCGGCCCAAAAGGCATTTGCTATTTTACGGACGATCAGACGCACCTTTTCTCATATTACTCGCATTGACTTCCAAATACTCTACGGGGCCTACGTCAAACCGCTCCTTGTGTACGCCAACCAATTTGTCTACTCAGGACTCACGAAAGACGTCACGCTCATTGAGCGTGTCCAGCGGGCCGCTACGAGATTGGTTGCCGGCCTCAAATCCGTAGGCCACGAAACGCGTCTCTCTCTTTCCCCTGGAGTACCGTCGCCCTCGAGGGGACCTAATTCTTACTTAGGCCCTGTTTGAACAAAGCTTGGCAAGCAGGTTTTTTACCGTTGACCCAGCAAACACACGGCGGGGACATAGTAATGAAATTTTCAAGCTCAGAGCGCACACATTCATTAGACGAAATTTTTCTCATTTCGGGTAGTAGTTGCGTGGAATGAGCTTCCTCCGACGGTTGTCTACGCTCCTTCTAGAACCCAGTTTAAAGAACTATTAGACACTCATCTATGCGAATCATCGCACTGAGAACATAAAGAGCAGTGCTACACCCTTTTTTCACTGGCACCTTTCAGGTGAACGATAGCCACTGACCGACAAGAACAAAAGCGATCCGGGAAACTTGGGCGAAAGCCTCGATCCTGTGTATCAATCCGTGAATCCGTGATTGGCTGATATATCGGCCAATTACGGCCTGGATACAGTCTCTCCGCGATCTGCAGCATGCTGTCCCTTCAACCTCATGCTCGCCCAAAATTTCTCCGAGACGATACTTTGAGCAAAAATGCCTATTACATAACGTTTTACAGTTTGACAGTATTTAATCGGAACCTGAAAATATGGCCAGATGTTCCGAGCTTTGTTCAAATTAGTTTAAAATTATTCAAGATCTATTTTATGCACAGGATTCACACATTTATTGGCCGCCATTGTTCAACGTGAGCTGTTTGCGATGGCGTTGAAAAACCTTGTAATGAAGCTAACTTTTCAACGCATTTCTCCTTCAGCGCATGTGAAAATATCATAGAAGAGAGCATGATCAATAATTACGTGACTTTGTCCGCGTAAACTCGAGTTTACGCAAGGAGCAGAACTTAGCGGCTTTTGTGCAGGAGCACCTCGAACTTCCTCAGTTTTTCTGTAAAAAAACCGCAAACAGCCTTGAGATTGTAGGGCTGCAGGCTTTGTCCTGAAATTCCATTATCGTTCCTGCACATGCTCCAGCAACTCCAGATCTTGTGGATTGGCTGGAGTAGTTGACCGTCCCACGATCATCGTTAACCAAGACAACACTTGCGAGTCTCGTGACTGGACACCTCCAGTTAGCGAGCTGTCAGCAATCCTGAATGGTGCCAGTGGACCTAAGCATTTGCTTCTGGATTTCCTGCCATAGGCCGCGTTTCGCTAGTTTAATTTATGGATTGGAGGATAGTCGTGTTGTAGACGCGAAGTCCTGTGCATTGGCTAATCTGGGAAATCCCCCAAACACTGTTTCGCTACTTCAGTATTTGTCTGGCGCTTCTATTCGACACTGAACCTCCCACTTTTAAGCATTGACTGAAGTGGTAGAATTGAGGCATTTGAGTACAGTAATCCCTCTTCACATCCTATGTTTTGAGGCCATTTGGGTGTGTCTATATAGGTGGGAAAACTGGCCATGGTGTCGAGTTCCGGTCCTACAGCTGCTGCATGGCTTGCTGGATAGTGTAGAATGTGTTGAAGCTCCAGCTTCCAACTGTTTGCCAAGTGGGACATCGTTAGGCACCGGAGTACTTATCCGACACCCGCTCGAATGACCAATCGATTATCGATTTAAGAGGGACTGTTGACAGTAGGCAGCTTTGGTTATCCGAAAACGATGCCAAACGCAGAATTTCTAACTCCGTAGAGCAAGATGCTGGTTTTCACTGATGGGTGCTTCTTATATAGCTTGGTGTATTTGGGGAAGACTACGAACTTAGAGGATTCTTTAAAAGGATTTGAAGGCAGCAGATTCACATCTCATGCGAAGACCGACAGGTCATGCTGTGGTAGATTGTTGAAATTCATATGGGTGTTGACTACACCGCCTAACCGTCTTATCTCTCTGATTTGGATTCTGTAGGTTCAGCAGAATTCATAAATTGTGATCCTGTCTTTTCTGACAGGAGATGGGGGCCCGCTCTCCAGTTGTTTGGCGATCGTGGCGATCTCCGTTTAGCTTTGCCGTTTGCAGTTGATTTCTGCTGTTGGGATTGTGTATGCGCGCGGGTCGTTGGCCTCCACACGCCTCTGTATGTTCGGGAGTGTAGGTCTTGGAGGGAAGAGTGAACTGGCAGCTTTATGTTTAGCGATTCCTACGGCAGTGAAGCATCGGTGTTGAATGCTGATGTCATGCTGTCGATGATGATGATGATGATGATGATGATGATGATGATGATGATGATGATTCCTATTCACTAGGTCTTCGTGGTGTTTTCACCAAAGTGAAAAGACGAAAATGAGTTGTGAACGGCCATACACTAGTGGACGGCCCATAGGTTGTCCGTCTAGCAGAATTGACTGAGTCCTGATTCCAAACATAGCAACAAGAACAAGAGTCAGCTCCGGGTAACTCGGCGGGTGAGGTTGTCTCCAAAATCTTACGGCCACATCGATGGTCATGTTCAGCCTCTCTGGACACATTTTCTGCGCTTGGCGGATATGATGAAGTGGTGACCATACCGTGTTGTGGTTGGTGGAATGCTTTCATGACCACCACATTTTCCGATACAGACGGATTCATTTTGCATCGCATCACCGGCATCCCCAGGTGCGTCATAGTTGACCTTCGAGCCAAGCCTGTCTTGTCCTTCTTAGCACTCTGAGGCACGCAGGATCACAATCTATTCTCTGGTACACACTGGATCCACTTGACATTGGTGTACGTTCCGTGCCGGAAACAAGCATACGTTATCCAAGTACTTTTGTTTAACTATCCGCCCCACCACCTTACTTCGGGCTGCGCACCTCTGGTGATCCAAAGACCGCGATGACAGACCGTGTGAGGATCTGTATTGTTCTTGCGTTACCAAACGAATACCAGTCGTCAGTTGCCTCTGCCCGATTTCGCCTGCAATGTCTGTCAAGGAAAGTAGGTATTACCATGGGTTTCACGCCTTGGTTCTTACATGTCTTATTGGTCTGATTTCTTCGGAGATGCAATACTCTCTCTATCCAGAAGTCTTGTCTATGACCACTTTACCCTACATAGCTTGAAACCCGTCAGTCTCAAATTGTCCGTTCCTCAGAATTACAAGCACTTCGCCCATACGATCGAATTTTCTCGGATTTCCTGGCTTCCTGCTAAGCTTGACATGTTAGTCGTCGGTGCAAAATAATTGCCTGTAATGTGTCGGGAAATTGGTAGCTCGGGTGAGCTTATTGGTTGTTGATCGGTTGGCAAGTCAATTGCCAAGATCAACAGTGACCTGGCAACAACCAGTAAAATAATTGCCTTCCGATTTAGAGTAATGTGATAGTCACGTGTCATGGGGTTCATCCTCAGTCTGGCTGAATAAAACAGTGGGGTTTTGTGATTCAGAGTCGGCTGTGGTTGCACTGTTTCGGTGGCGAGATACTTTTGGATTCAGCAGGCTTCCATGTTTGAGGACGTCCTGCTACCGTAGTCTGCTGTCTCTTTGGATGCGAGCGGCACTGCATATCTGGGTCAGACATCTTATTCCTATGCACCGCGTGATCCTACTGATCCCGTGGCTAACCTCCTTGTCACCCGAGTCTGCAGTGTTACTAAGTCGCGAATAATAAAGCAAACTATTTCTTGATGTTCGGACTTATCATTTTCGCTTCCTTGCTTTGTTTGCAGCAGGTCGTTCGTGGCTTGTTCATTTATGCAGGCAAGTCGACTTTTGGTAGGCTATTACCATTTATTATTTTTAGCGGTCTTTCCTTCGTGATTATCTCAAACTAACTGCCGTGGTCGGGCAGGAATTTAAAGGCCAAGTGGAGTTATTGCCCGTGGATGAAAACACAGTCACATCGTTTGTTCTTATAATACGACCTAAGAAAGGTCTTTACGCCCATGGAGCATTTCGGTTTATGGTACACACGATTTGTGATTTCTGATGATTTATAAGGTGACCGTCACGGAGGGTTATCCCCATAATGCTCCTTCCGTCAGCTGCCTTAATCCCCCTTGGCATCCGAATATTGACCCTGGATCAATGGGTAATAATATTTGCCTAAATATCTTGTCCTGTTGGAGAAAGTAAGTTTCTGGGTTTATTCTTGTCTAGTTTCCCTTTCAGGGAGAATAGCCTAAAATCCATGGCATCCGCCTTGGTGTTTCTCTTCTATGAGCCGAATTTCGAAGATCCTGTCCATTTTATTGGGGCGTGTATTTTGCCCGAGGAAAGAGGCAAATTTGTTCGGCTCTCCTTGGCCGGCGGTAGTATCGATAGCATTTACTTTCAAACTAACGAAGAGTGGTGTCATTGGGCGGCAGAAAACTCACTGCTTCCAGCTGATCCTATGGAATTATCCTCTTCTACTGTCCCCCCGGCTACAAAGGTAATCCTTTGCCTTTCACCCTCCATTGCCAACTGCTTCATTTTAGACTCATGTTAGTTATAGGTGTGTTCACTAGATTGCTCTTGTGGTGGTGAATTATGAAAGCCGTTACCAGCAAACTCGACTGCGCTGATCATTGCCGTCTCCCTATTTGGAAACTTTGAGTCGGGACACATCAATGGTTAGAAACGTTAACAGACATGGCGCAATCTAGTGCTCGATGACGCACATACATCCAAGCTATTGCCTTCAATGCATAGCTTCCGCTCCTGATCTCCCCAATGAAAAGCCCACTAGCACCCGAATTCACGCACCGATTATATCATCTACCGCCTTCAGTACGTATCTGTCCAGCCCGTCTTCCTTGATCGTCGGTGAACGAAACTGTCTCAGCAATAATGCTCGACATGTAGAGCCAAAGGTGATGTGCTTATTGTTCGGAGCCAAAGCGCAGGGCGCTATCCGAACCACAGACCTCTCTCTGATTGATTAGCCTACTGCTTTTGAGTACTTTCCTTCGTACCACCCGTCTGTATTCACTCCAGGTCTGATGCTTATTTAGCGTTTGTTTAGGACGTTTTCTGCCTCAAGCCACAAAGAGACCACACCTTACTGTGGTGTGGCGCTTTCTGCACCTCTGTGACCCATTGAGGTAAAGTGGTGGTGCCCATGCGGCATACAGTCTCTCATACCAGGTTCGTCATTGGTCTGACCAACATGGCCTCCTCCCCCCAGGTTGGGGGTTGGAACATGTGTGGTAACTTTTTCTATAAAAATGGTAATGCACTTGTATTTCTCCCTAAACACCGCTGCCTTGCGGTCAGGCTTTTGGGTCAACGGCTTTGGTTGATGACCCTAGTCGTCCTCCCCGTCTAAGTCTGGGTGCCTTGACAGTATCGAAGCCCACGTACAACTGACACTTAAAACTAAAAGTCTCATGCCACATGGCCGTCGCGTGGTGTCATCAGTCAAGCCGCCTTACTTGCTTCATACATCAGGGCGGGTAATCGAAAACACGTTAGTGCTGACGCCTTCCTTCTTATACTTTCGAATATTCCCTCTTCCACCCTACCCCACCCAAATTTGAATAATCTTTCCCCAGGTCCCAGCACTAGGATTGACCGCTTTTTTCGCCGTGCGTCAGCTGCAGCTTCTGTGTCCGAATTCAGTAACAATTCTACTTACTTGGAAGTTTTTTTTTCAAACCCCAAAAGCCCGTTTACGTAGCTGCCATCAAGGCTTAATGTTTAGAGCACGAATTTAGTGACCGATGGTCCGTAGTTCGAACCCGACCTCTTCCTCTCGACTTCCTTTGTGTAGACCTGGGCAACCTGGCACTATCTTAGCCCTCGTGCTTCCCTCAGATGGTATGGCAGCTAGGTAACGATATGGTGCTACAGCTGAACTATTATTTATTTATTTAGGTTCACACACTGGAGCAAGCAGGGAAACTAATGGCTCTCGCTCGTAAGCTGGATTCCTGCACTGCTGTATGCTGTCTATCAGAAACGAAGATACAGAATGCCACTGCTGTGATTGAACTGACAGGCCCTTCGCTCTCTAGGTTCCAGCTGCGCACCTCTGGTGATGCAAAGGCTGCTGCAGCTGGATATGGTGGGGTGTATATCGTATTGAGTGACCGAGCGGAAGTGTCTCTACTCGACTGGATACCCGTTAACAATCGCCCCGGCGCGGTTCGTTTGGCAACGCGTCTGAGGGAATCTCGAGAAATTGAGGTCCATCGCACCTTTTTTAGTTGTCTGCTCACGCCCCAACGGAGTGTAGCTCTGAATCTGCCAAAGACAGTTTCCCTAGGTGCTCTTTTACAACAGACTCAGACATCGTTTTGGTTGATGTTGACATGAGCGCCCAAGTAGGTAGACTAAGCGCTGCTGAGCCCGGATCGGGTGGTCATCCTGGATTGGACACAAGACGCACGGACAACGGAAATGGTCCACTTCAGATGTGTGCCGCTCACGGACTGTTCCTTCGCAGTACCAATTTCCGGAATAGCGGGAGTCGTTTTATAACGCGGTGCCCAACAATGAATCAGTCCCGAATCCAAATAAACCGCATCGCCGCGAGGGTCAGACACCGTCTGCCGCTCCTTCTGGAACACCGACCATGCACTTGTACGCTGCGCATTTCAGGTTTACTCGAAACGCGCACACCTTACTAAGCCATTGAGAAGCTAGTGGACCCAGAAACCAAGCGGCCCTGTCAGAACTGGCTCAAACGCCTGCCGGACGGTGCGATATCGTGTATAAACGACCACAGAACAGATATCTAAAGCGCTCCTCAAACCCGGGACCTCTGTGCGCGGTACAACCCAGCCAATCTCACCCAAACTTGTGATCTCTGATAAGATCTAGGCTTTGATAGAGGCCCAGAGACAGATTCCTCCAGGCCACAACCATAACTCAGCCCGACGCATCATTCGATGCCAGATGAAACTGAGTGTGCTGATCGCAGGCTGTTTTTATGCAGTACGAACTTCCGAAAT